AGTAATGGGTAGTAATGGGTAGTAATAGGTAGTAATGGGTAGTAATGAGTAGTAATAAGTATTAATAGGCAGTAATAGGCAGTAATAGGTAGTAATGGCTAGTAATGGGTAGTAATACGTAGTAATAAGTAGTAATAGGCAGTAATAGGTAGTAATGGGTAGTAATAGGTAGTAATAGGCAGTAATAGGTAGTAATATGTCGTAATAAGTAGTAATAAGTACTGGCTCTGTGTGATCCAGCTGTTATGATGTAACATCTGTCCGTCTCCAGATCGTGCGTGATGACCGCAGCATGGAGCAGATCGTGTTTCCTGTTCATCCCATCTGTGAGTTTCTGACCGAGGAGTCGAAGACCAGAGTGTTCAACACCACGGAGCAGGACGAGCAGGGGTCCAAGGTCACGCACTTCTTCGAACAGACCTCCTTCCTGCACGGAGAGATGGAGTGGCAGAAGAAGCTGAGGAGTGAGTACACACACACACACACACACACACACACACACACACACACACACACACACACACACACACACACACACACCTTTATGTTTGGAGTTGTTTTTAAAAGGTGAATTTTTTTTATATGACCAGTAAACACAACTGGTGTGTCCGTAAAATGAATGTTTAAAGCTGGAGTCACTATGATTTACAGTGTGTGTGTGTGTGTGTGTGTGTGTGTGTGTTGCAGGTATGCCGGTGTTGTACTGGTTCTCCGGGAGGATGTCTTTGTGGGGAACCATCTCCTTCAACCTCGCCGTCTTCATCAACCTCATCATCGCTTTCTTCTACCCCTACGATTCAGGACAAGGTACTGTCATCAAATACTATTAGTACTACTGCTACTGAGAGTACTGCTACTTCTGTCAGGGTTGGCACAAACATTCCTTTTTGCAAAGTAAACTTTTACATTTAAATGAATGATACTTATGTCCTGATATTAGCTCGTTTTTAATAAGAAATAATAAAGTATTTGTATTAAATGGTTGACTTCATTAAACCAGAAGTTCCTGCCATTGTAAATAATTTCATTTGAATCAGAATTTAGCTCAAATAAAGAGAATTCAAATACAAAGTTCAGTTTTCAAGTTTAGGATGCAATCTGTTAAACATCTTGTTATTGTGTCGAGTAATTATTTATTATTGCAGTTTTCATCTTTTCATCTTCAGTAAATATGCATATTTATAACCTGACAATAAAAATATTAATGTTGATGAAATACACATTTTATAACATTTTAACAAAGGAAGCCATTGACTATCATACAAAGAAGACTCGGTGGTCTATAGACTAAAGAGTAAAGAGTCCTGATGGTGTTACAGCATGAATGTGATCGTGAGTCTGTTACACTGTGACAGATGTTCTGTTACTGCAGTAGAACTAGTAGTACTACTACCACTGTTGGTACTAAATGCAATACAGTCTGGACCATCACTGCTCATAGTAACTTTATCCCCCCCCCCTCCAGTGGGAGCGATCGATGACTCCCTGTTGCTGATGCTCTTCTGGATCCTGATGGGTCTCTCGGTGTTGGGCTTGTTCTCTCAGCGTGGCCTGCAGCCTCTCACCATCGCTCTGATCCTCCGCTCCATCTACCACCTCGGCATCGGAAACACGCTCATCCTGCTGGGATCACTCAACGTGAGTCACACTACATTACCCATCAGCCACCTGGGACGACGACGACTCATATGTACCTCTGAGATGTAGTACAGTATAAAGTACAATATGTACCTCTGAGATGGAGTACAGTATAAAGTAGTTTGTAGTTTTACAATTTAGACTATAATTTTCACTTCAAGCCATTTTATATTATTTGTTAACTTTGAATAAAAACAAAGTTTACAGCTAATATTTATTATTTATTATCAGATATTGCTGCTTTTCTTCTTCTCTTGTCTGTTAAACGCTGCGCTCTCTTGTCCTCCAGCTGATCAATAAGGTGGTGTTTGTGGTGAGCTTTGTGGGAAACAACGGGACCTTTATTATGGGATACAGAGCCATGGTGATGGACGTGGAGTTCCTGTACCACCTGGCCTACGTCCTCACCTCCACGCTGGGACTGTTCGTCCATGAGCTCTTCTACAGCATCCTGGTAAACCTCACCCGTCTCACCTGTCCCTCACCCGTCTCACCCATCCAACCCGTCTCACCCGCCTCCCTCCCTCTCTGTCTCACTTGTCCCTCACCTGTCCCTCATCCCTCTCCCTCTCTGTCTCATCTGTCTCTCACCCTCTCCCTCTCTGTCTCACCCCTCTATCTCACCTGTCTCTCACCTGCCTCCCTCCCTGTCTCACCCGTCTCTCTCTCTGTCTCACCCCTCTCCCTCTCTGTCTCACCTGTCTCTCACCCACCCCTCTCCCTCTCTGTCTCACCCCTCTCCCTCTCTGTCTCACCTGTCTCTCACCCACCCCTCTCCCTCTCTGTCTCACCCGTCTCTCTCTCTGTCTCACCCCTCTATCTCACCCGTCTCCCTCTCTGTCTCACCCCTCTCCTTCTCTGTCTCACCTGTCTCTCACCCACCTCCCTCCCCCTCTGTCTCACCCGTCTCTCTCTCTGTCTCACCCGTCTCCCTCTCTGTCTCACCCGTCTCTGTCTCACCCGTCTCCCTCTCTGTCTCACCCGTCTCTGTCTCACCCGTCTCCCTCTCTGTCTCACCCGTCTCCCTCTCTGTCTCACCCGTCTCTGTCTCACCCGTCTCCCTCTCTGTCTCACCCGTCTCTGTCTCACCCTTCTCCCTCTCTGTCTCACCCGTCTCCCTATCTGTCTCACCCGTCTCTGTCTCACCCGTCTCCCTCTGTCTCACCCGTCTCCCTCTCTGTCTCACCTGTCTCTGTCTCACCCGTCTCCCTCTGTCTCACCCGTCTCCCTCTCTGTCTCACCTGTCTCTGTCTCACCCCTCTCCCTCTCTGTCTCACCTGTCTCTCACCCACCTCCCTCCCTCTCTGTCTCACCCGTGTCCCTCTCTGTCTCACCCCTCTCCCTCTCTGTCTCACCCGTGTCCCTCTCTGTCTCACCCGTGTCCCTCTCTGTCTCACCCATGTCCCTCTGTGTCTCACCCGTGTCCCTCTGTGTCTCAGCTGTTCGACCTGATCTACCGGGAGGAGACTCTGTTTAACGTGATAAAGAGCGTGACCCGTAACGGCCGCTCCATCCTGCTGACGGCGCTGCTCGCTCTCATCCTCGTGTACCTGTTCTCCATCGTGGGCTTCCTCTGCCTGAAGGAGGACTTCATCATGGAGGTCGACCCACTGGCGCAGATCGCTGCAGGTCTCTTTACGTTCCACCAGTTCACATCAAAACATTCCTTCTTTTGTGGACGTCTGGCATCGTTGTTCGTTTGTCTAAACTGTTGTAATAATAATTGTAATATTTCTTCCGTTGATCAGAACACGGTTCAGTCTTTATGTCTGTGGCAAACAAACAATCAGCAGAAACAGTCAAGAACAATGAAGTGATGTCATTACATATTTAGTCAGATCAAAGTTTGAAATAAACTTGCTATTGATATAAAAAGTTGTTAATAAAAACATTTTGGTTAATTTGAGTCTGAAGAACTGAAGCTAAAGATGTAATAGTACTAATTAAGGCGTAATAACTGATCTATAATGTGTGTAATAAAGGACTTATTAACAATAAACCTTTTATCATCAGCTTAAACTAATGAGGACGGTTTGATATTAGAAATACATCATTCAAATGCTGTCAGTAATAATCTAAAAATACACATATAATGTATAGTTCTGTGCAATAAGTACTTCTACCTTTTGGTTTTGCATTTTTACTGATAATACTAATGAGAGAGAGAAAATAGTTCCTACATTACATCACAGTCATTTAGCAGATGCTTTTATCCAAAGCGACTTACAATTCAGATTCTATCACATTTCTACAGTAGGCACAACTACGGGAGACATTTTTTGGGGTTAAGTGTCTTGCTCAAGGACACATCAACATGCGACAAGCAGAGCCGGAGATTGAACCGCCGACCCTCTGATTGAAAGACGGCCCTGCGATCCACTTAGCCACAGTCGCCCTAGTTTCCTACAGGAAACTCCTCACAGGACGTTCTGTAGATGTTCTTCAGGAACCGGGTCAGGACTTCTGTAAAGGATGTTTTTGGGCTTTTAGACGGCAGACATTTCTAAACGATGAAACTCCACCAGAACAGTCTAGAGTCTCATAAACAGCTCTACGGGTAAGAGGACACTATGTAGTTGTTATTCTGGGGGTGAACCGTCGCTTTAACCGTTTTAAGTGTCCTTGAGCAAAAAACACTGGTTGTGTGTGTGTGTGTGTGTGTCAATAACAGAGTGTGTGTGTGTGTGTGTGTGCTGCTCAGCTCCTCAGCAGAGTCCTGAGAGCTCCTCTCAGGATTTCCTAAAGTCGTGTTCTACAGACGGAGTGAGCTGCACCGCGGAGACGGATGCCGTCAGCGTCCCCGAGGACAAAGGTGAGAGTCCCTTTCTAAAAGCAGACGTTCAGGTTTTCATTAAAACGCTGTGACGTCATCGCCCCGACAGTGACGTCATCGCCCCGACAGTGACGTCATCGCCCCGACAGTGACGACTTGTGTTTGTGTGATAATAAAGTACCTATCTAATCTAATCTAATGTAATGTAACGTAACGTAATGTAATCTTTCAGACGAGCCGAGTTCGGAGCGAGCGTGCGACACGCTGCTGATGTGCATCGTCACCGTGCTGAACCACGGCCTGAGGAACGGAGGAGGAGTCGGAGACGTTCTACGGAAACCGTCCAAGAACGTAAAGAACACTTTTATTTCCTCTACCTGAACGCACACACAGCATCCATCCGTCTACACAGTACTTCTATTCAAGTACAGTACTTCACTTTGCTACTCAATACTTCTACATTTACTTCATTTATTTAATGGGTAATAAGTACTTTTACTTCTTGGTTCTTCGAGTGCATTTTGAACTGATAATACTGATGAACTTCTACTTGAGTACATCTTTAAATGCAGGACTTTTACTTCAGTTA